AACGCAGAAAAATCAGATCAAATGTAGAAACAGACAAAGAAGATGATACCATTACACTATCGAACAAATATAATACCCTAACGGATACCCAAGAAAATGAAACCAATCAAAATGAAACAGCGCCAAGAATACCTAAACCACCACCAATATTTGTTTACGATGTAAGCGACTTCCCAGAAATGAGGAAAAAATTTACAGAAATAGCTGAAGCTGAACAATACGAAACCAGAACTATGGCAAATAATACAGTCAAAATAATTTGTAGCGATCCAGAAATATACAGAAAATTCTCCAGATATATGAGAGAGAACAACATTATTCATCACACATATCAACCAAAGGAAGAAAGGGCCTATAGAGTCGTAATTAAATACCTTCACTATTCACATGCAACAGAAGACATCAAAGAAGAACTGACAAAACTGGGTCACAAGGTAAGAAACATCATTAATGCTAAACATAGGATTACAAAAGAGCCGATAAATATGTTCTTTGTTGACCTTGAACCATCAGACAATAACCAAGATATTTATAAAATTCAGAAACTACAACACTGCAATATACAAATTGAACCACCTATAAAAAACAAAAATATCATCCAATGTATGAGATGTCAATTATATGGCCATTCAAAAACATATTGCAATAGACCATATGTCTGTGTGAAATGTGGAGGACAGCACAGTACAAGCAGTTGTAAAAAGAACAAGAACACACCAGCTACATGTGCTTTATGTGGAGGAGATCACCCAGCTAACTATAAAGGATGCGAATATTATCGTAATTTAAATAGAAATAAAAATATAGCACAAACTACATATAATCATCACCAAAATATGTCGCAAGCACGTAACAGAAACTTTATACCCAACACAGTAAGACCAAATGTAAGCTATGCTAATGCAGCGGGTAATAGACAACCTCCTGCTGCTCCTTCAGATAACCAAGATTCAAACACCATTCTTATGAAGTTTTTAGAAGAATTCAAAGCCATGTTTAATCAAATCTTGCAACAAAACAGCATGGTAATAAACATGCTAAGTAAACTCATATGCAAATAAAATTCTTTCTACGAATAGCAGAATGGAACGCCAATGGCCTGCTGAATCATAAGGACGAGGTGATAATATTTCTACAACAAAATTTTATAGATGTATTATTAATAAGTGAGACACATTTTACAGACAAATCGTATTTTAAAATACCTCAATATCTAACGTACCATACTAACCATCCAGACAAGACAGCCCATGGAGGTACAGCAATTTTGATCAAACAATCAATTAAACATTTCATGATGGAAAGTTATATAACAGACTGTATCCAAGCTACAGTAATTAAAGTGTGCTCATTACCTTACGAAATAACAATAGCAGCAGTGTATTGCCCTCCAAAGCACAATATTAAAAAAACCGATTTCGCATCCTTCTTCAATACTCTAGGTCCAAAATTTATCGCAGCTGGTGACTTCAATAGTAAACACACGTACTGGGGATCAAGATTAATAACAACAAAGGGGAGAGAGCTTTATAGCTTAATGCAAGAAAATAAATACTCATATTTATCAACAGGAACACCAACGTACTGGCCAACGGACCCCAAAAAAAGACCAGACCTCTTAGATTTTTGCATCATAAAAGGAATATCTAACACCTTTATGGACATAGTTCCAAGCTATGATCTATCTTCAGATCATTCACCAATTATTGCAACAATTAGCACCTGCGTTATTAACAAACAACCTACTCCAAAACTGCATGGACCTAGAACAGATTGGAACGTTTACCGAAAAATACTGGATGAAAACATTAAACTAAATGTAAGACTAAGAAGCCCTTCAGAAATAGAAGCAGCTACAAACAACTTTATGACATTATTACAAAACGCTGCAAAAGAAGCGACACCGAACGATGCAGATAAAAATAAAATCGAGAATAGAATAAATATTCCACTAGAAATTAAAAAGCTCATTGCTGAAAAAAGAAGAGCAAGAGCCAAATGGCAACAAAGTCGGAACCCAGCGGATAAAACGTTTTACAATCGCTTAGCCAATAAATTAAAAACACAACTAAAAATTGCAAGAGAAGAGTCAGTCAAAAAATATGTAACACAACTTAATAGATACGACCATTCAATATGGAAACCAATCAAATCATCCTTAAAACCTCAAGCAATATCGCCACCAGTAAGAAAAACCACAAACACACAGAACCAATGGGCAAGAAGCGATAAAGAAAAATCCGAATTATTTGCTGAACATTTAGCAACAGTATTCCAACCACACAACAATGAAGAAGATCAAGAAATTATTAATTATTTAAACTCAGAACAACAGTCAGTAAATCCAATAAAATTAACAACACCCAAAGAACTTAAAGAAGAAATCTTAAAACTAAATATCAAAAAGTCACCAGGAATTGACCTAATAACTCCAAAAATGCTAAAGGAATTACCAAAAAAGGGTATAGTGATCCTTACATATATATTTAACGCAATATTAAGATGTAATTATTGGCCTAACAATCTAAAAATTGCAGAAATACTTTTATTTCCAAAACCAGGAAAGGATCCAAGTGAAGTCTCATCCTATCGACCTATCAGTCTGCTATCAACAATCTCCAAATTACTAGAAAAACTTGTAATAAAAAGAATAGATCCAGGCCTTACAGGCGCAGACTGGATACCAAATTTTCAGTTTGGATTTCGACGAGAACACTCAACTATCCAGCAATGCCACCGAATAACCCATAAAATCAATTCCGCATTAGAAGAAAAGGAATATTGCCCAATGGTATCACTAGATGTACGTCAAGCTTTTGATAAGGTTTGGCATAAAGGACTTCTTTATAAAATTAAACAAATATTACCACCCTTCTTTCGAATACTTACATCATACTTGGAAAACCGACAGTTTAGAACAAAAGTAAATGGAGAAATATCTAAAATGCATCCCATTAAGGCGGGAATTCCACAGGGCAGTGTCCTGGGACCTTTATTATATATATTATATACTTCTGATCTACCAACTTCGCATAACGTAACAATTGGCACATTTGCAGATGACACAGTAGCACTTACCAGTCACAAACACATTAACATAGCTACACAACAACTCCAAGATTATTTGTATGAGCTTGAAAACTGGCTAAAACAATGGAAAATAAAAATTAATGAAAACAAGTCAACCCACGTAACTTTCACTTTACGACGAGAAACACCACTACCAATATATATCAACAATGAGGAAATACCCAGGACTAAAACAACCAAATACCTAGGGCTACACCTGGACCAAACCCTGTGTTGGAAAGAACACATCACCAAAAAAAGAAAACAAATACAACTAAGACAAAAAGAAATCAATTGGTTAATTGGAAAAAACTCCAAACAGTCAATAAATAATAAAATTCTAATTTACAAAACAGTTATTAAACCAATATGGACATATGGCATAGAGCTGTGGGGCTGTAGTAGTAAATCTAATATTGCTATTATGGAAAGATGTCAATCAAAAATCTTAAGAGCAATTGTTGATGCACCCTGGTACGTAACCAACCAACGAATCTATGAGGATCTCAATATCTCAACAGTGAAAGAAGTATACCAGCAAAAGAAATTACAATACATTCAAAAAGTGAACACACACTCCAACCCATTAATTTCCGCAATACCTCAACATCAAGTTATCCGAAGACTAAAGCGACGTTGGCCAACAGACCAGTAACATGGACCCGTGATTCTCTCACTGGAGGGGACCACATCACGCCAGAACCAAGGGACAGGACTTAAACTCATCACATTAACTTATAGAATATATTGTTTTATTCTGATTGTTAATTTATTAGTTATAATAAAAAAAAAAAAAAAAAAAAAGATTATTTATCATCAAACTGTAATATACGTTAAAAGCCAATTTGTCAGCAAAAAAACAATAACAAAAGAAAATATAAGACATAAAAAAACCAATACACTTATATCTTGTTATACATTATTTTGTTATAAAATTTTATAAAAGTTTGTCTTCGATTTAATTGTTATGAATTATTTACAGGACGATTATTTGTTACCTGTATGTACCCTTACGAAGTGTGAATTAATTATTCAATAAATAATATTACTCTGGTATACTCGTATTATTCTAATTACTCCATAATCGCAATGAATAGAAGACCTCCCGCTCGCTTTATTGTATACACCCAAGACTTCCCAATAGGGGGTTGTAAGTAGGTAAAAATATAAAATTTAGTACCAGATGACGTTTAGAATATTCTTCGTGAATGGATTTTGTTTTCGTAAAGAAAGATATTTTTGAAATAGATAGCTCACTGAATTTTACCGTTAGGATTATCGAGGATAGGCCTTAAATGAAGCGTGGAACTAAACATTGGCAATGAAAAGATGAATGTGAATATTTTAGAGTTTCTTCAGTCTCTTAAATAGCTAAATAAAAACCCGTAAGATCAGTATTCGATGCGATATGTTGTTACTTGAGCAGAATCTTAGATAATTAGTACATATGTAGGAATCGAATTATTTATTAACAAAATGACTTTAATCATAACGTCCCCAAGATTTCCGCATCAATTGTCTCGCATAAAAAGCGAGTATAATCTACATTTGGCCAACAAAAATAGCAATAAGCGTTCCGGAAGATTCCAATGAATGATAGCTACTGAGATGTGAGACCCTACAACAAACACCAATTATGGCAATACCGGCGAACGATTGGAAGTTAGACAATCGGTTAGTGGCGTATATCTGAGTTGGTATTTAATGCTAAATGTTAAGGTTATCTGATATTTATACAGGCTTATCCCCGACACTGTTTTATTTTCACGATTCTGCGGAACAATTTAAAATCTGTGCGACAACTCTTCACAATCACTGACGTTTGCTCTATCACTCACAACATCCGACCTTGGAATTAAATTTTTAAAATAACGTGCTCGTCAACTAAACAACGAAAAACTAAAAACCTGCCAAAAATGATACTTCAGTGTACTTAGATATTTTTATATTAGATTAAGCCACAATTAATTGTAATAAGAATTACATTTTATATTCGCTTTGACATTTCGATTTCCAATGTGAAAATCGTTTACAAAAATATCTGAAATAAAAATGGCTGATCTTAACCTGTAAATTGAATACCAATTTGAGAGTTGACTTTGTACCACCCACGGTATATCAATGTCTTACAATGGAATGAATAGCATATATGGTCGCAACTCGAAACAAAACAAAATTATTTCACATAAAACATGAATTAAGTCTGAAAAATCATGAACAATCAGTGCAAAATTCTCTAATGAGATCAGACATTTTGTATTTATTGCACTTATTTATTCAGCTATTTATTTCAATAAATTCTTAATTTGTGTCATTCTTTGTACTGTCGATAAATATGTGTGGATACTTACCAATTAATTGTTAATAGAACAAAAATACAATATAAAGTCACTCTAAAATAAATGACTTAAAACTTATTCTAAGGGAGTAATTTTTATATCTTAATTGATTCATAAATATGTAGGTACTTTTAATTGAGGGCGATATTTTGTAAACAGTAAACGATTACATTGTCTGATGGTTGATGGCAACATTTTAGAATGACATTAAATACAGGTAACTATGTCATATTGCAAAATGGCCAATAACCATCAGACACCCAATTTATATTTTAAGTACCTTAAAATATTAATAAACTAGCGTCTGGCAATTAGAGAAATTACTTTTGGCAACAGAGAAGTCAAGATTTTAGTCTAACCTAACGTAATTACCTTGATGACAAATCATTATGGAACTAATTAATTAATCAAAATCAAAAGGAGTATGAAATTTGTAATAAAAATAGACGGTTGATAATTTTTTGTCTTTAAATTGCAAAAAGCACAGAAAGACTGAAAAAACATTGCTCCTTCGAGCCGGATACTGAGTCTCAGTAAAACCTTGTGGCGAAAAGATTAGCATTCTCAACATGCCACCAAAGAACCAAAAACCACAACCTCAATAGCTTGTAGTCTGTTGTATTGAACACCAAAATCACAACAAGGCACCTTCAAGCAAACTTATGGTCTTCTATATACTATTGGTAAAGCAGCTGACGACAAAGAATAATTTGTTGTTGTTGTGAAAGAGTGAAAAAGGTTCCTGTTTAAATATACACAGGAAATATTCATTCAAATGCATAACTAAAGCAATACATACTTACTTTTTCAAGATATAATAGTTTGTGCCTGATTTAGAACGTCACAAAGATTGAGTTTTTACTTTAAAATTTTTATTAAAATATTCAATATAGCAATCTTTTCCAATACTGCAGAATAAAATAGATAGATCAGATAGGTATAATTGCTATTTTTTCTTATTTCTGTCCAATGTAGTTCATTGACTATGAGATGTTGCAAAACTGACAAATATATAAAAATAAAAATATATTGGGAAAAAATTAATGTTAAAGAACCATAATACAATGAAAGAAATAAAGAAGAGTTTTATAAATTAAAACTTTATTATAATCCATACATTTGGAATAATATCAATAAGATTAGGACTCTGTGTCAGACTTTCATACACTGAATTGGAGACTGTTGATAATTCTAAATAAGATCTGTGTAAAATTTATTTTAATGAAGTTTCAAATAAATTAATGGGAGATTTATTAAAACTAATGTTTAAAATACATTTAACTTCATAAATAATAACTATGTTAACTAAAAAATGAGAATATATTAAATTCTATAGCATGCAGTCAAAATATCGCCCGTCAGTTAAAAATATTGCATAAAATTGATTCCAAAAAATCAACTTAACCCACGATATATTATTAAAATCTAATAAAAATATCTTCTCTTGACAAATAATCTGTGTACATTTGTTACAAATATAACAACGAAGAAAAATCTACATACCAATAAATTACAAAATAAAAATAAAAACAACCTATGAACCGACACATGACACATTTCGTTAACGAACCATTAGTTGGCGACGGCAATGGGGATCCGACTGTTGATCTCCTCCAAACCGACTTGGTCCTGCTTGAACGCGCCGTTGTCAGTAGCTGGAAGGCCGGGATTAGACGATTCGTCGTAGCCTGAATCTGAGCTACTATCGCTGTATAGTTTTGAAGAGCCCGTGTTCTCGCACTGTTCCGTTTCCGGTTTGGCGATGTCGAGAGCCAGCTTGCAGGTAGCCAAACGGCTACGGCACGGCTTCATGCAGGTCGGATCGAGCATGATTTCGTCGTAGAGGCCTCTAAATATTACTCCGCAACATATCGTTTCCCTGAAAAAAGAATTTGTAAGCTTTTGTAGACTTTGCTTTAGCTCTGGTTTTTTGTTTGATTTGTGTGGCAAATATCTACTTCTATTCCAGAAAAATTCATGAAGCAGTAGGAAGCCGAGAGCATAGAGAGAATAACATGAAAAAAGGCTAACACCCAACAGGAACGCAGTATAATATCCAATAATATTAACATACTTTCGGACTGCTTTCCGTCGTCTCCATAAGAGAGTTCATTACTCAGAAATTTTATTAAATTTACCAAACAACATTAACTGTGTGATTTGTGGATGGATCAAGTAGTTGAAAGTCATTCGAGAAAATCGAAATGTGGGAAAAAGAATATCATGGCTTCAGAACTTAAGGAAGTGGTTTGAATGCAGTAATGCAGAGCTATTTAGGTTGGCAGTCAACAGTCACTTAAAGAAGAAAATAAAAAATGCTCCCTAACCCATTTTCGCGAGGATTCAAAACTGTTGAAAAGTTTTGTCAAAAAACTTGTACAAAAATTTTACATTTATAATTGTCCAATTTTTGTCATCATTTCTCTAAACCAAAACTGTATTTGTATTTCATAAAAAAACAATTTAAAATTTAACTTACTTTTTCCAGTAATCCAAATCAATAAATCCACTAACTCTCGTATCATCATGTCTTCTCTTAGGCATACCTTTGTACCTCCTACTTTTCATCACAACGTCTTCAGAGTCGCTGAGACCGGGACTGCCTGTCCTACTTGATTCGTTGCTGGGGCCATCTTCGCATAAGTAGTCTACTTCTTGGAGATCCTGCTCATCGTTACCTACAAAAATTTATAAACCATATTGTATTGCATTATTTAAATGTAGAATATAATAAAATACTTAAATAAAAGGAGTGAATAAAGTACACAAAAAAAAACAAAGGAAATGCAGATTTATTTCGACAAAAACAATTTTGATTATTCTGCTTGCTAAAGGAACCAACTGCTGTCAGTTAGCTGCAGCAGCTGACAAATATTAAAAAATTAAGAATAACGGCCATTTTTATTTTATGATTGTGTCAATCTGTGCACATTTTATTTATGTAAATAAAGTTCTCCTAATAATCTGTGTTGAAGTAACAAATAAAACAAAAACATTGAAATTATTAGCTTTGCCGTCTATTATTTAATATATAGTGTATTAGTTCTGGAAAAATAATAAATTCAACTACATACCTTCACTTTTGTCACTCAATACTGGGCTATTCTCCCGATGAAACTGTTTTTTCTTCAACTTATCAGCTTTTTCTTCTAATAATTTACGATTTTTTACTTTAAATTTAGTCATTGATTTGATACCCGGACCAGCTCTGGCATCCACCACCTAATGAAAAGGATATTATTATAAAACTCATACAGGAGATGTTTTGTGTTTAGCGTAAATATTACTTACATGTTGCCAATTTCTATCAGATCCAGCGGGCAATTTCTTCCACCTTTTGACAAGTAAGACGCATGCGTTACAGATTTCACCTTGTCTCGGAGTTTGTAGCTTGAAACATTCCAGAAAATCCTCCTCGTACTTCTTACTATCAGTAAATCGTGAACTGAAAAGAAACAGGTGATACAATAAAAGACTAACAATATATTACTTGTAATGGTTTAATATTGACTGTAATTTAATCCAAATCACGCATTTTTATATAACAAATATATAGGAGAGAGTTTTCTAGTGTTATAGGAGAGGAATTACTTACCTGCTAGACTTGGCTTTGCAGATACAACATCCAGTTGTTGATCTATATACTTTTGGTCTGTGGAATGAAAACATCTTGAACTGCTACAATTCTGAAAAGAAAATAATTTGTAAATTGAGCTTACAAAAAACACAATGTGATAATAAATGAATATTGACACGTTTCAGTGTATGTATTTGTGAAACAGTTCACAAAACATTGAAAAACAAGACAAAAAATGATACAATGATAAAAAAAATATGAAGAAGAGTGAAATACATTATAAGATTTGATGTGACAGAAAAATGAAGACGCAAGACAAGAACTGAAAATAAAAGAAAACCGTGACACATATGCCACCATATACACCACCATGGTATACATATGTTTACCTTCAAGTAAAATCTATATACGAGATGTATTCTAAAAGTTACGAACAGAGCCATCTAGCAAAAGTAAATCGTTTTCGGAAATGTAAACATTTCTTATGATAAACAACAGTTGTTGTCACGGAAAACATTGATGATGAGGCAGCTCAAATTTGGTATGAAACATCATGAGTTGTGATGAAACGTGGATATATTGCTATGACACAAAACGAAAACCAATCTATGGTATGAGAGTTTCACAAAAGCCAACAAAACTATTTGTTTGTCAGAAGTGATTGATGAACTTAAAAACAACCATAATCGTTGCATCCTCTTGCGTTAGGGGAATGCCAACTGTCATATGACTCATATTAACTTCCCAGTATTTGGTGCACCATCTTGTATACGGTCCTGACCTGCCACTGTGTGATTTCTTTGGGTTCCATTCCTTTAGTACTGTGATATCTGAATAGATACTGTGATTTTGTACTTAGAAAGATTATCGAACTTATCTGTTTCTTTCTTGTTTAATTCTTGAATATTCCAACAATCAGTATTCATTTGCCTTTACCATAGCCTAAGTCGTCATCTTTTAATTCCTGTCAAGTTCCGAGGCTTTGCAATCGGGTTTTTAACAATTTTTCAAATTTGTATATATTGAGGAGATAGCCAATCTGGAGGGCCAGGTAATAATTTTCTTCAGCTTTAGAGTTCTTACTACCCTTGGTTTAATTTCAGAGTTTTACTTCTTCTAGGTGGATTGTCTTCTCTACATATTTTCGATTATCTAAAAGATCAGGAAGTGTTTAAAGAGGCTGATATTATTATTAGAGAACTACCAACTAACGAAAACCAAAACAGATGTTTTATGTGTGGTGTCAACTTCAAATTAAACGACGAAATCTATAAACCGTCGACTTGGCCAAAATCTGTCGCTTACAAGCGTTTCGATTTCCGGAAATATCAACAATATAATCGTCGCTTCGAGGATTTTTAAATAATTTCTTCGTTAGGGACTCTTTAACCCAAAGTAAATGTCAAACTTCCATAGTTCACCAAAATATCTGAAGTCAGAAGTATTTTAAACTGACAAACTTATATTTCCCTATTTTACACTGCAATATACAGTATACAATATACGAGGACTTGCACGTAAATCTTACGATATAAATTTGATACTTCAAAGTAATAATGTGAATATTTTATGCCTTAGTGAACACTGGTTGAAAGAAGATAAACTTAAAGTAACCAATATTGAACACTTTAATTTAATGTCTTATTTCGCACGAGATGATAAAGAAAGTGGAGGTGTATGCATATTTGTAAATAATCAGTTGTGAACAGCTAAATTTACGTCACTATGGTATTGAAAGCAAAGTTGAAATATGTGGAGTAAAATTTAAAGTTCATGGAAGTAAAAAAATATTTAGTTATTGTAACCATACACAGACCTCCTTATAGTGTGAATTTTAATACTTTTATTACGAAGTTAGAACTATTGTTGCAGAGTATTTATAACAAAAATGATTTTTTACTTTATATGTGGAGATTTTAATAATAATTTTTTAGAAAATAGCAATCAGAAAAATATTTTAATAAAGTTATTTTTAGAATACAACATTAAATTTCACATAAATGTACCTACTAGAATTACTAAAAATTCTTCAACATGTAATTGACAACTTTTTTTCCAATTTAGATGTTCAAAAGGTAAGTGTATGCGATACATTTCTATCAGATCATACTTATCAATTATGTGCTTTTGATATGAAAGTTACTGGAAAAAATCCTCTAACTGTTTCTAACAGAAACTTATGCGATGCTAACTTAATAACTTTTCAAAATATTTTAGCTAATATTGATTGGAGTGATCTAAATGTGGCTAGTAGTTTTGGAGAAAAATTTTTCAGTATTTTATGATACTTTCTTATACTATTATAATACTACTTTCTTAAAACGTAGAGTAACTACCAACCAAAACAAAAAACGTGGTTTGCACCTGATATTAATGGTTTGCATGATCAATTGTGTCAGATGAATGGATTAAGAAAACAACTCAATAACCCACAGTATTCGGAACGATACAAGAAATTTAAACAAGAATATCAAACAATTGTTAAAAAAACATAAAAAGGAACAATATGATTATCAATTTAGAAATAGCAATAATGTAATGAAGAAAAGTTGGAAAATAATTAATAAAAATAGAGGTAAAAACTGTCAATCGAATCAAAATTTAATATCTTTTAGTAACAACTGTTACTATCAAAAGTTATCGATATTAAAGCTAAAGATATCGATATTAACGATACACAGATGGGATTCAGAAAAGGATTAGGTACAAGAGAAGCTCTCTTTGCCTTAAATGTCCTAACACAGAGATGTCTAGATGTTAACCAAGAGGTGCATGCCTGCTTTATAGACTTTGAAAAGTCCTTTGACAAAGTACGCCACAATCAACTCAAAGAAATCCTGGAAGATAAGAACATCGACACCAGAGACATACAAATAATATTAAATCTGTACTGGAATCAGCGAGCTAATATAAAGGTAGAAGACCAAACATCGGACGAAATATAAATACGTAGAGGAGTACGACAGGGTTGTATATTGTCGCCACTTTTGTTTAATATCTACAGTGAACAAATATGCCGAAAAGCTCTCTCACATGCAAACGAAGGGATAATAGTCAATGGAGAAGTTATCAATAACATTCGATATGCTGACGATACTGTGATAATGCCAAGAATAGTGGAAGATCTACAACATCTAGTTGAAAGTATGAATGAGATATGTAATAACTATGGCATAAGGATGAACGTCAAAAAAACCAAATATATGACCTTCAGTAAGAATCCAATACATGACACTAGTCTCGCAATAGACGGTACCCAACTTGAAAAAGTAAGCGAATACAAATACTTGGGAACCCTCATTAATGAAACAGGTGACCAAAATCACGATATAAAAAGACATATTGAAATTGCCAGGTCTACCTTTATAAAAATGAAAAAATTATTTTGCAATCGTGATATTAGCATTCATCTATAAACTAGAATGTTAAAATGCTTTGTATTCAGTACTTTGTACTGAAAAATAAGTTGGGTGGATAAAATTACAAGTGAAGAGGTAATACGCAGAATAAATAACGATCCAAAAGTTATTATGAATATAAAAAAGAGAAAACTTGAATACTTAGGCCACCTGATGAGAGGACAAAAGTACACGTTCCTACAAAATATAATGCAAGGAAAAATCCAAGGACGCAGAAATCCAGGCCATAGAAGAATGTCCTGGATGAGAAATTTAAGAGAGTGGTTTGGCTGTACCACTAACGAATTATTCAAAACAGCAGTTAATAAAATTAGAATCGCTATAATGATATCCAATCTCCGATAGGAGAGGCACTCAAAGAAGAAGAAGTAACAACTGTGGCTTACAAAATTATCATAAAGCTGATCAAATCAACAATTATTTTATTAATACTGTAAAAAATAATGAACTATCAGCTGTTAACTGTACCATACAAATTGACCAATTCAATTCAAGTTTCTTTTTAACACCAACCACAGAAAAAGAAGTTGTATATATTTTATTAAAAACTGCTTCTAAAACAGCTGCAGTGGTTGACGAAATTGATAGAAAAGCTTTGAAACATGTTGCCACTTATATAGCTTTACCACTATCTTATCTCATAAATGAATCATTTACATGCGGAATATTTCCAGATATAAAGGAATCCCTATTTTTAAAAATAAAGGATCTGCAATGGATATTGCAAACTATAGGCAGATGTCAACTCTAAAATATTTGAAGCAGCCTATGCAAATAAATTAACAGATTATTTAGAACATTTTAAAATTTTTCCTGTTATTCAAAACGGGTTTAGAAAATAGAAATCTACAAATACTGCTTTTTCGGACTGTCTTCAATTTATTTATAAAGCATTAAATTATAAATTAAATGTGTTGGGTCTTTTTTATGACCTTAGTCGTGCATTTGATATGGTTGATCGTGAACTCTTATTACAAAAATTGCAGGGTATTGGAGTATGTGGTCCACCGTACAATTGGGCCTTATCTTATCTAAGTAATAGAACTCAAGTAGTCACAGTGGAAAATGTAATGTCGAGGTCACTTCAATGTACGATGGGTGTACCTCAAGACTCAATACTGGGGCCTTTATTTTTCATTATATTCGTAAGTGGCCTAAAACACATTTTGTTCAATGCCAGATAAAATTGTTCAGTATGCTGATGATACCAATATTCTCATCTCTCACAGTGAACCCAAACAACTGGTGGAAAATACCAAAATAATGGACTCAAGTTCAACACAACAAAAACAAATTTTATGTGTTTCTTACCAAAAAACTTAACTGCAAATTCTGACTTTTATTTACATGTGGATGGCAAATCAGTAGAAAGTTATACTACAACGAAGTTTTTGGGGGCAACCCTAGATCATAAACTTACATAGGAAACTCACGTAAATCTTGTTTCAGCAAAGTTAAGTACATGTAGCTATATAATGCGTAATTTAAGAGAAACTGTCTCATTTGATATATTGCGAATGATTTACTTTAGTTTAGTCCAGTCTGTACTTCAGTATGGTTTGTATATTTTGGGGTTGCTCATCTCATTTTGAATGAGCATTTATAGCTTTAGTTTTAAGAAGTATGTATGGCGTTCCATTTTCAGATAGTTGCAAGCCACTATTTAAGAAGTCTAATATTTTAACACTAC